CTTCACGACGCGCTGCTCCGCCACCGCCGCCAGGCGCCGCTGGGGCCGCCGGACGGCTGGCGCCGGCGGCGCCACCGCCGCGCCGCCGCGCCCCTCGGGGCTGCGCGGCTCCGGCGTCGTCGGCGGCGTCGACGCTCCTGGACTGCGCGACTCGGGCGTCGGCATGGACGTGGACGCCGCAGCACTGCGCACCGGGTCGCGCGGAGAGGAGCAGCACACGGAGAGGGCGAAACTAGTGCAGCAGCCATCAGTGGCAGCAACTGGTGGGTCCCCCCTAAAGGACAGCAAGTGACCCCCAGAAACGGTACATCGCCACCCCGCCTGACCTCGATGTGCTGAGAGGGGCCCAATCCATCGAGGGGAAGGAGTGCTATGTTGGCCGGCTTTTTGAGATGTCGGAGCCCCCCGCCCCAGAGCCAAAGTCCACCCCGCCTCACCCCACAGGTTCGGAGATCGAGGATGAGGACAACAAGGAGCAGCAAAGAGAGGAGGGGATGCGGGGGTGGATGGAGAAATGGAAATTGAAGGGAGGACGGATAATGAATGTGTTGTTTCATGGCGTCCTGCACCGTCAGAAGCCACCCATCTTGTCACAAACGTATAAAAGTGGCATCTCAAGTTCAAAAGATCATCATACAAGAAGAGCATGCGCGCAACGCAGGCCCTGGGCAAATGCTCAAGATCTGAAGGACTTGTGGCACTAAGGAAGCTACGACGCAAACTGCCAAGCAACCCCGTCAAAGATGCATCTGACGGACGGAGCGTGATCCACCACCAGGGTGGGCCTCAAAAACAGGGGGGTCTCAGAAGCTGGGGATCCCCCACAAACCCAATCCCCGTCGAACCTCCCCGAAATGAAAATAAGGCCCGAGACCCTCCTGGACCAACAAAAATAGTGGCAGGATCTAAGGGCCCCCCACCCCACCCTGGAACCCTACTCTGGACCCCCCCCCCACGGAGCACGGCGGCAAATGACGAAGACGACGACGACGAAGATGCTCGGCGACGGACGACGACGACGACGACGATGCACGACGACGACGACGACGACGACGGGGAAGACGACGACGAAAGCAACGACGACGGCGACCACCACGAAATCGACGACGACGACGACGACGACAGACGGCGACGGACGACGACGACGACGACGACCGAGGTCGACGGACGACGATGACGACGACGACGACGACAGACGACAGACGACAGACGACGACGACGACGACGACGAAAACGACGACAACAACGACGACGACGACGCCAACCGCGACGACGACGACGACAGACAACAACGACGCCGACGAGAACGACGACGACGACGACGGCGACAACGACTACAAAGACGACGACGACGACGACAGTAACGACGAAAGCGACCACGACGACGACGACGGACACCAACAACGACGACGACGGTCATTATCCGACGACGACGACTATGACGGCGACGACGAGGACGACGTCTGTCGTACTCGTCGTCGCCGTCATCGTCGCCGATGCAACCACGGACAAGACCGAAATCACAATTAGGTCGCATGCACCACGGGCCAGGGCCAGACCCCACATCGGTCACGTCCACCACCGCCGCCGCCGTCGACGCCACCTCCATCGCAATCGTCGTCGGCGTCATCGTCGTTGTCGTGGTCACCGTCGTCGTCGTTGTCGTCGTCGTCGATGTCGCCATCATGGGCCAGGCCGGAATCCCCACCACGGGCCAGGAGACCCCAATTATATCGCGTCCACTACCGCCGCTCGCTGCCGCCGTTCTTCACCGCCGTCGCCGTCGCCGTCGCCGTCGTCGTCGTCGCCGTCGCCACCGCGGGACAGACCTGAATCCCGAGTAGGCCACAAGCACCACAGGCCAGAGCCAAACCCGAAATAGGCCACGTCCCACCAGCGTCGCCGTCGCCGCCGCCACCGACGTCGCCTCCATTGTCGCTGTCGCCTCCATTGTCGCTGTCGGTGTCGGTGTCGGTGTCACTGTAGTCTGTAGTCATCGTCGTCGTCCTCGTCGTCGTCGTCGTCGTCCTTGTTGTCGTCGTCATGGCATCCGTCGTCGTCGTCGTCGTTGTCGTCGTTGTCGTCGTCGCCACTGCAGGCGAGACAAGAATCCCACCAGAACCCAATTAGGTCACATCTACCAGCCTCTTCCGCCGCCGCCGTCGTCGCCGTCGCTGTCGCTGTCGTCGTCGCCGCCGTCGTGGTCGGCGTCGTCGTCGTCGTCGTCGACGTGGTCGCCGTCGTCGCAGCCGCCGCCGCCGTCGCCGTCGTCGCCTTCTAATTTCTTGCTGTCGCCGCCACTGTCGTCACCGTCGTCGCCGTCGCCCTTGTCGTCGTCGCCGCCGTCATCGTCGTAGGAGGTCGTGGTCGCCGTCGTCGTTACCACCACGGGCCAGACGATAGTCCCAGTTACTTCATCCACCACGGGCCAAAGGCAGACCCCAATTAGGTCACATCACCGCCGTCGTCGCCGTCGTCGTCGCCGTCGTCTTCGTCATGGTCGCTGTCGCCGTCGTCGTCGCCAGCTGACCCGCCCAAACCGAAACGAACTGACCTGCCCCAGCCCCACCCGAGCAGACCCGACCTGACACGAACCGACCCGACCAACCGCCCGTCGTCGTCGTCGTCGTGGTTGTCGTCGGCGTCGGCGTCGGCGTCGGCGTCGGCGTCCGCGTCCGTCGTCCGTCGTCCGTCGTCCGTCGTCCGTCGTCCGGCGTCGTCGTCGCTCGATGGTCGTCCGTCGTCAGTCGTCAGTCATCGGTCGTCTGTCGTCGGTCGTCGGTCGTTGGTCGTCAGTCGTTGGTCGTCGGTCGTCGGTCGTCGGTCGGCGGTCGTCGGTCGTCGGTCGTCGTCGTCGTTGCCGCCGTCGTCGCCGCAGCCGCCGCCGCCGCCGCCGCCGTCGTCGTCGTCGTCGTCGCCGTCGTCGCCGTCGCCTGTCGCAGTCGCCGTCGCCGTCGCCGTCGCCGTCGCCGTCGCCATGGTCGTCGCCGTCGTCGTCTGTCACCTTGCTCCAGGGAGTGTGTCCTGGAACCCCTCCTATAATTTTCCTGGGGGGGTGTCCTGGAACACCCCCATCGCACACTTGTTTTGGAGGTGGGGGTTCGTTGAAGCACCCCTTCCCCCTTCGCTGGCAGCGTCAGAAAGCGCTCTTTCATCTGACGAGAAGCCGAACTTGGTCAGTACGCGATGCATGGACAAACAACTACGGCAAACAACCACGGTCTGGTCAAGAACTTGCCCAGTGAGCGTGCCACAAAACGCGTCAATAAAACGCCAATTGGAAAAATAGTGCAATAAGGTAAGCGGCACGATGAACGGAAACAGAAAAACCAGCGATGGTATTGCCACGAGCACCAATCTACCCACAAGAAACACATTCGGCGAGGATGATCAACAAGTGTCCCTGCGACAACATCGATCACCCAAACATGTCAAACATCCCGTTGCAGACGCCACCATGAGTCATGGCTTGCAGAAACGTAAAAGGGTAGACGTACGTATTGTGAAGAAATCCCCCTCCGTCGGACTAGCTGTGGATAGGTATGTAGGTAGATGGATGTAGTAGTGCAGCATAGCAGTAGATAGCAGTAGAATGCAGGAGAGAGCAGGGTAGTGTTGCATTGATTCATTGCTTATCTTCCACAGCCCCTTTCGGCGAAAAAGCATTTTCATGGTAGCGCGAGTGTAGGCGGCTCGCACGCGCCTGGCGGCGCGCGATGAATGCCTAGCAAGAGAGGCACCAGAGGAGCCTCCCGACGCCGCGACCGCGAGGTGCGCGGCCACCACCGCCGCTCGCTGGGCGGCGCACCTGGGCTTCGGCTGGCTGCGGGTAGCTCCGCGCCGAGCCGTGGTCCGGAGAGGGAGGAGCCGGCGGCGGAAGCGGGCAGCCCCGCTCCGCGCCCAATGCTCCTCAAGGCACGGTCGAAGGCCGCGGGTAGACCCGCGCCTTCCCGTGAGCAGGCCGGGCACTGCGGCCCGGAAGAGCCTCCGGCGCAGCGCAGGAGGCGGCAGCGCAGGAGGCGAGGCAAGGCTGAGGCGGCCGCGGGAGCGCCAGACGACCCGCCAGCCGCACCAGAAGAGAGGAAGAAGGGCTTCCTCGAGGTGAAGATCGAGCAAATCTTTCGCCGTAGGCACGTGTCGCCGGGTGGCGTGCGTCCACAAGGAGAAGGAGGGGACGCGCGAAGTCCGTCGGAGGCGGCTGGGCAGCCGGAGACGGTCGGGAAGCGCGCCAGGGGCAACCAGGAAGCCCCACAGCATCTCCCGGCAGCGGGCAGCTCCGCGCCGAGGGAGGTGAAGCAGGAAAGGGGCGAGAGCCATGGAGCAGCAACTGCAGCAACTGGCGGCGGAGCTCAGGCAGCTCCGGCAGGAGAACGCGCAGCTGGCAGACACGGTCAGGGTGCAGCAACAGACGCTGGAGGCGATCCAGCAGCGCCCTGGCGCAGGGTCAGCAGGAGGAGGCGCAGCAGCAGCAGCAGCAGCGGCGGGAGCACTTTCCAATGAGGTCGTGGAGAGACTCATTCGTGCTCTTGACGAGCAGACGCGCACCTTCGCTGCCAGGAGCCGGCCGAGCCTGGTTGACAGCAAGGGCGTCGGCAGACCAGCTGCTTTCAACAACGACGAAGCTCGATTCCCAGAGTGGGCCAAGAAGACAGAGGACTATCTTCTTGGAGTCGAGCCGGCCTTGGAACAGGCCCTTGAGTGGGCGCTCGGCCAGGACGAGGAGATCACAGCACAGCGGGTGCTGGAATCTTTCGGACCAGGGAGCGATCATGTCATAGACGGCGTCGTTGGACTCAACTTGCAGGTGAAGACGGTCTTGAGCAACCTCACAGAAGGTGAAGGTTGGACCATCGTACAGAACGCTGACAAGAACGGCCTAGAGGCGTGGAGGCGCCTGCACAGACGCTTCGACTCCCTGACTGGGGGGCGGCGCAGGAGCCTCTTACGAGCCATCCTGGCGCCGACCAGAGTCAAGATGGACGAGCTCGGCTCGGCCTTGCAAACCTGGGAGGAGATGGTGAGCCGTTACAACAAGAAGTCGTTGAAGCTTGGCGAACCGGCCATTGCTGACGACTTCCTGTGCTCAGCGTTGGAAGCCCTAGTGCCAGACGATTTGGAGAAGCACCTGCAACTGAACGCATCACGCCTCAAGAAGTACAACGACATGAGGCAAGAGGTGATGAC